ATTTGTCCTATCTGGACCGAAATCTAGTAACTTGCCTCTAGCAAGTCGTGTTGTAACATGCCCTCTTTTATCTAACATCCAATATAGATCCAATGCACGAGATTGTTCAAAAACAAAATAGTGCACACCTATGGACTTAGCAGAAGTAAGAAAACAACCACAACATGGGACTTGAACGTCTCCTGATTTCTGACTTTTACAAGTGCTAGTACAGGAATAACGGACAACGGCAAAGCACTAGAATATCTCAAATTGCAGATTTTCACAACACACTTGCACGCTTAATAGCAAGAAACGGCACCATCCAAGCATTAGACCCTCTTTAAAGTGCAGATTGTGTACAACATAACAGCAACAACAAAGCACTGGAACTTATCCAAACTGCATTTTTAGAGCCTCACTTATAGACTTAACAAGAACACAAGAAACGATTTATAACACTGAAATTCTAGCACATAACAGCAGCAACAAAGCACCGGAACCTCTCCAAATTGAACATTTTTGTAGTACTTAACACTGAAATTCTAGCACATAACACTGGAAAATGTGTAGAACTAACACAGTTTTTTTGTACCAACAAGTGGTACAACTGAACAATAAATTGAAGTACTGAATATACCAGGCTAGTTTATCTGTACACTTTGTAAGTTTGTAGCAGCACCAGATATGAATAGGCTAGAGTTTCTTGTAAGAAATGAACAAAAAAGTTGCAAAGAAGCAACAATAGTATTGGCATCTCTTGACAATACATTTTCCTTCAGGTTTTCTTACGAGACAACTGAACTGAATGAGCAAGAGACGCACAACACACTCCTGCGATGCGGTGGCGCCGGGTCTCGTCCATTCTCTACAGCGACGCAACAGGCTCCTCGCTCTGCTTGGATCCAGGAACCTTCGGAACTCCATTTTTTGGTCAACTGAGCTTGTTTACACCTCCCAACTACATAATTTATTGGAGCCTCACACCCCCTAGTCCGGCCCTGGAGGAGGTGTTGCAATCTTGGGCTTCGAGGATGACGACTAGGCAGCGGCGGACGCCAGGGAGGCGCCAGAGGTCGCGACCGTTGGGGCGGAGGGGGTCCAGTGGATGGGTTGTGTTTCCGGCGGCAGCTTGCTCGGATCCATGGGCGGCGCCATGGGAGCTCCCGTGAGCAGAAAGAAAGAGATGATGGAGAGGGAGGAAGGAAGGAAGATGAAGGGAAAAGGAGGGAGCAAGGGGCGGCACTGCGGTTTGGCTTGCCGGCGGCGGCTCGCCGGAGGAGGATGCGGCGAGGAGGGCTCGGACTTGGCGGCAGGGAGGAGGAATCAGAGGAAGACACCATCGGCTGGGGACTTGGCGCGGGGGAGGAATACGGGAGGAAGACTTATGCGTGCGATGCCGATCGAAGGGACACCAAGTGGTGTGGCAGTTTTGCAATCGGGCACAGGGTTGCCAAATACATATTTCGTTTACTTATTTGCCTTTAGCACACTCACCTAAAGAGCACTGGTTACGGTTTCATTATTGTACTCCAGAGGAATACTTGCCATCGTTTGAAATATTTTGGCTACCTTTTTGTTGGAAACAACTTCTGCAGCTCTCTTTGCTTGCCAGGACATCAGGCCTAGTGTCAGCATGGGTTTTGCATATCTGAAACTTCTTAATAATAAACTTGCAACTTGGAAAGGGTTGTGAAGTTTACATATATCCAGCCATCTTAATCTGTTGCATTTATTTTGTACCTGTAAATAAGATATGTGCTCTTATTTTTAGTCTTGCACAAATTAATGCAAGAAAAGTGAGAACAAACACCAATACTTCATACCTGTACTATTCTCTTCCGTTTATTTAATCAGATCTCGAAATGTCATTTGTCAATATCTAGATGGATTTTCCTAAATCACATCACAGGAGGATTCTCCTGTACATCCTATAATCTGAATGCAAGTCCTAAACAACCGATAGATGTTGATGTCATCCAATTCACCACATGTGCTTCACATTAAAAGGAAATTGTGTGCCGTAGCCACAGCCTGGTATCACCTGCTTCAGAGTTTAGACAAAGGGGTAAGGCAGCAAACACAACACACCACTCCCAGCTGCTTCTCTTAACCTTTTGTGTCATATCAAGAAAATGGTTAGCACCCTTAGTCGCAAATAGATACAAGTGATGTGCTTCGTTTGTGCTATAGATGGAAGTGGAACTGAGAAAGCTTCATGCCATTTAATTCCTTAATTTGTTGCATTTATAATTTTATATTGTACCTGTAAATAAGGTATATGCTTTTATTTTTAGTCCTACATAAATTAATGCAAGAAAAGTGAGAACCACGACAACAATACTTCATACTTGTACTATTCCCTTCCATTTATTTAATCAGATCTGGTAATGTCCTTTGTCAATATCTTGTTCGATTTTCGTAAATAGGCAACAGAAGCTCTACTTGTGGCTGAGGCCAGCTTGTTGTGGGGTCACATGTCAGTCATCCCAAAGTCAGGTGACTTAACGGAGCTTATATTCTGCTCGTCAAACACTAGACACATTATTTTATTGAAAGACCTGCTGATTCATTCGTACATATGATTCTGAACACTCAGCAGGAACATTTTATTTTGCACATTCATTGCGTGACCACATTCACCTTCAAGCGTTTCTGAATGAGTATTAATGCCATCCTTGTTACGGTCGAAAAAAGAGGCGTGCTTCTGAAGCGCCGTCATGTTAGCAATATCAGGGGATGCTGTCGCATGTTCCCCTTGATGAGAACCATAGCAACGATACTCATCAGATGAAACTTGTATGTAAAAATGTTTCCGCTGAAAGGATAGTGTCCCAGAAACAGAAGGTACAGCTGCAGAGAAGCCGCTGCCGACGATTGTCGCCAGCCCGCCATCGTCGGCGATTATTTATTCTGCGGCTATTTGACGGCGAATGCACACCTCACAGATGGCAACGAATGGTCTTGTTTAAATAGCTCAGGGAAGAGCCAGACATGAATATGTTCTCTATGTGGTACTTATGTTTGTTAGTAGGTACTTGTCCTTGATCTTGGTAGTGGGAAATTATGATTGATAGGCATAGATAGAGAAGAAAATAATGCCACATGTTGCATCGCTTCTCTGTGGTGGTCCTTGTGTTTGCTTGCCAAAAACTAAACCACAATTTAATAGAAAGCAGGCTCGAACAATAAATAAAAAAACATAAACTGGAGAACTGTTTATTACTCCTAGTTCCCATTTTATAGTAGTAACATATGTCCAGCTCTACTAGCTGCTATGTTTCTGTAAAAAGAATTACTTGCTGCTAAACAGACTCTGCGCTGATGAACTTACAAAACTGAAATTCAGTCGTACACCACGCGTTGCAAGCAAGAGTAACAATACCTTGTAAACAACGCAAGGAAACATAAACCGGAAAAAAATTCAGTCGTACACCACGCCTTGCAAGGAAACACTTACAAATAGGCTCTCAATTCTCAATATCAGACTTTTCAGGTGTGGGCATGTTTCCTGCAATCTCCACAAACTTTTCATGGAACAAACCAGCCATCTTAATCTGCTGCATTTGTTTTGTACCTCTAGATAAGACATGTGGTCTTATTTTTAGTCTTACATAAATTAGTTCAAGAAAGTGAGAACGGTGACAGGCAACACCTCATACCTGTGCATTTGTTCTTCCATTTATTTAATCAGATATGCTAATGTCACTTGTCAATATCACGTTGGATTTTCCTACGTGAGGGCATCCTATGATCTGCATGCAGGTCCTAAACAACCGATGAATATTAGTGCCACCCCATCCACCTTATGTGCTTCACATTAAATTAAATCTTATGCCACATGACGCAGCTTGGCACTCACTTGCCCGAGACAAAGGGGGAAGAGAACAAAGACAACACACCACTCTCACCTTCTTCCCTTGACTTTTTTGTTTCATATTGAAGAGGTGGTTTGGCAGTTGTGTATCCATACCATACAGAGTTTCACAATTATTTTGTTCTGTCACTGACTCGTATCTATCTCTTCACATTTGCACAATCTTTTATTGTAATATATATTACCCCTCTGTTCACAAATATAACATGTTTTAACTTTTTTCTGATTCTTTTTTTTTTGCGGAAACCTTTTTCTGAATCAGATATATATATAGATACATTTTGATGTATTTGTTGACTCACTTCAGTCTGTATGTAGTTCATACTGAAATATCCAAAATATCTTATATTTGTGAACGGAGGGATTATTTGCTATGTTTCTACATAAGTGCACTAGCAGCTAAACAAATCTCACCTCAAGATGTGTTCATTGTTGCATGCACCAGCTAGTTAACAGTAAAATGTTGTGGTGAAACTAAATACCAATTTAATGGTAATCTGAGTAAAAACAATAAAATTCAGTGCCTCTTTGGTTTGTAGGATTTCAAGTATAAGGAATATACTAGAATAGGATGTCATAACATTGTAGACAGATTCTACATGGATAAGGACACAATAATAATAGTTCGGAAACACAATAATAGTAGTTGTTTGGTTGCACCGTATGAAAAATGCAGAAATGTTTTTAGAGATTCATGTCTTCTTTGGAGGACTCGTTCTTTTGGACCAAATAGATTTTATATAGGAAAAACTTATATGAACTGAAATTATATATAATTCCTTTGGACGAAATAGGTCCTCACATTTTTCGCCAACTATAAATGGTAAAATATAACAATGGACAATGGTCATGAGGTAATGCTGCTGCACGCTGCATATTGTTGTGCAACTTCTTGCATGAAGTATGTTTGTGGAGACATAAAACAAACACCAACATTAAGATTATAAGTAATTGGAAACATCCTCATTTGCAAACTACTGCGATATCTAGACAAACAGGCTTTGAATTCTCATTCCATAAAAGAACAAACAAACACACCAAATCAAATCACAACATTAATTTACAGAACCATACTCGCAAGCACACCATAATTTACGCATACTTGCGCACAATCACAAATAACAGGGTATTGGGATAGTTTTCATCATTTCTTCTTGGCAGATTCCTTAGCTTGCTTCCTCTCTTGCTCCAACTTCACAAACAGGCTGCCATCGTAGACTGCCCTGACAGTCTCCTTGTGAAGAAATCCCTCCTTATCTTTGCACAGCGAGTAGAGAACTTTCCACTCCGTGAAGCCACCCACTCTGCATTGTTGGTTCCAGAAAAGGAGAATAATGAGCTAAAGAGCACAACTTACATTTCCATTGTTCATACTCCAGATGAATGGAAACTTACCGTCCTTTCAAGTCGTTAGGCTCCCTGTTTGCTTGAAGCAACTCATTCAGCTCTTTGCCTGTCAGGGCATCAGGCCTGGTGTGAGCATGCTTTTTGAATATCTCTTCAAACTTTTCAGGAACAAACCTGCAAGTTAGATAGACTGTAAGGTTAGCACATATGCACCCGAACACATGTTGCATTATCTTTGTACGTCTAGATAAGACATATGCTTTAGAGTTGTGTTGCTATCTTTATTTCTTTTTTAGTTACCATCGGGCGGCACAATTTATCGATAGTTCAACTTCTCTACACGTCATAGCAACACTGTCATGTGCCACAATACCTTAACTAATCTCATGCGACTCACATTGGCCAGTAGTTTATTGTTGAGTGTGCGGCACTGTGGCATCTCTTCCTTCAGAGTTTAGTTAGACAACGGGGAAAGAACAAAGACAACACAGCACTCCTAGCTGCTTCTCTTAACTTTATGTTTCATATCAAAAGGTGGTTTGACAGTCATGCACCCGTATCATAAGGCGGCAAGACTACTTTAGATTCTTTTAGGTTTTATTAGGGAGTTGCGACTAACATCTATGTCACTCTCTCTCCACATTACGTTGCAAGTAGGAGTAATTAGCTGACCTTTTTTTAATTCAGCTAGTATATATCTTTGCTAATAAAGGAAATACTCCTATGTAAAAATACATGATATTTTAGATAGATCAGTATGTCTTCATGAAGTATCTTTGATCGCTATTGTTATTTGAATATATTAGCAAGAATTTACAGAAAAAAGGAGATATTACTTATGAGAAATGGAACAACATTATTTTCATTTGACCAATCTGAATAACATATTTATATTTTGATACTCCATGTTAGAGAGGTCTAACTGTAAACTTTGGAGGATCCACCTAATTAGAAATGGAGGTTGTCGGCGATGTGCACATAAACAAATATGAGATGGCAGCTAGTACCTTCCATTGGCATCGTACACGCCCGAATCGCTGCCATGCTTGCCCTTGTGGATGTTCTTTACGTAGATCGGAAACTTGAAAGCTCCAACCTTCATGTTCTCCTGCAGCGGTAGCGACACACGACGATTAATAACTAACGGAAAACTCCAGCCAATCAGCACTGAACCAATCCCCATTTCATGTTAGGTCCTGCTGTAAAGACTGAACAGATCGATAAACTGGAAAAGCCTGACAGTGCTCCTTTGCTCGGTGTTTTCGCTTTCTTCTCTGAAAAAAGCAAGGGTGAATAATGCATCTTTTCTGTGTTGGCGTGTACAAGTCCTCACGCTAGGAATATGTCTTCTGTTTCTCGGCCAGAGGTGGTCTAGTCATACGGCACTACTCCGTCGAATACTCTGAACCGAGCTCGTCTAGTCATACGGCACTCCGTCGAATACTCTGAACCGAGCTCGTCTCTGGCAGCGGCTTCTTACCACGAGGTAGATACGCCCGATTTACTTGCTTCCATCCTCTGCTTTATCCGGGAAGGCAAACAATTCATCTCTTTTGGGAGCGGCAAGGGTTAATTTTTATTACCTCCGCGTCTAGATTCACTCATTTCAGCGACAGTTAATACCGAACGGAGGCAGTAGATGGTCAAGTGGGAAACTCGATGGTCTATGAAAGAGATATACAATGATACACCGACCGTCCATCGCTGGAAGAGTTCAGTTGGTCCAATCTAAAGCATAGGGTGTGCTTGCATGTTACCATTGCCTGCTTAGAATAAGCAAAGTGCAAATAGATCTCGCTAAAGTTTCTTTGTCTCGTTGTAGTAGAAAGGAAAGTGTAGCTAAATCATTGGCTATTCATTTCTCTTTGCGACCGAACCCATGCTACATGAACTAACATGTTCATTGGTCTATGTTCTCATGTGCGTCTCAACGCATGGTGCATGCATATGCTAACCTGGCGATGTGTTTCTAGTGCTGAGATAGTCGTATGCGCGTATGTGCGTTTTAGTAATGCCTGTTGCTAGTCATTTGTAGATCTCGACGCCGTTTAGTTACGAGCCCTTTGACCAATGAGCAACTAGCTTTTGAATCTCGTGCAGCCTTTTATTTATACCGCCCTCCATCTAAATCAGGCAACCATCTAGTTTGTGCTCTGTTCGTGTGGAGTATTTAACCAAAAACTACCACAATTTATGGAACCGTACCCAAAAACTATCACTTTACGTTTTTGTGCGAAAAACTACCATTTTTATTCAAATCCGTGGCAAAAAACTACAAAGTGTGAAAAGTGCCCGATTTACCTCTTCTAAACGCCTTCCTGACATGCTGGGCCCACAAGTCAGGTTGACCGTTAACGAGAGGCCAACGGCGGGGGCTAGCCAGCCAGCTCGAGCGGAGGCCAGCGCACGGCGCGTCGGCCTGCCTGCCCGGCGGCGCGGCCTGCCCAGCGGCGCAGCGGCACGGCCTTCCTGCTCGTCGGCGCGGCCTGCCTGCTTGCCGGCGCGGTGGCCTGCTCGCCGACGCCGCCGTTGCCCTGCCCACATGTGGTCGTATCCCTGTCTGGATTGTGTACGCGGTCGTCCGAACAGAGGTCGTGCGTGAGCAGTCGCCGCTGGCAGGCCGCGGCGGGCGTGCGTGCATGCGAAGTCGCGACTGGCTGGTCACCGCGCGTGTGCGCGTGCGTAGCGCAGCTGCTACTAGCTGGCCGCCGGCGGCTGGCCATGTGCATGCGTGCGTGCGCAGCGCAGCCGCCGCGTGCGAGCCCGCGCAGCTGCTGCTGGCTGGCCGCCGCGTGCATGCGCAGCGCAGCCACTAACAACTTGGCGGCTGGGCGGGCTCGACCAGGAGGTGGTCGCCTTGTTCCCCGCCATGACCTACGCCGAGGCGAGGGCGCTCCGGGAGAAGGAAGCGGGAGGCAAGGGCGAAGATGGCACGGCCGTGCTCGAGTGCACCGTCTGCCACAGCGAGTTCGGGGACGGGGACCAGCTCCGGCTCCTCACCAAGTGCAGCCAAGCCAAGCCTTCCACTCGGACTGCATCGGGGTGTGGCTCGCCGGCCACGTCACCTGCCACGAGACGCAGATAACCTGTTCGATGTAATGCACATGAGGGTGGACAGAGGTGGAAGAAGAGGGTTGACGTGTTTGCCCTATCTGTAATAACGGTCAAAGTTAAGGGTCAACCTTACTTGTGGGCCCAACATGTCAGAAAGGCGTTTAGAAGAGGTAAATCAGGCACTTTTCACACTTGATAGTTTTTTGCCACGGATTAGAACAAAAGTGGTAGTTTTCCGCACAAAAACGTAAAATGGTAGTTTCTGGGTACGGTTCCATGAATTGTGGTAACTTTGGTTAAATACTCGTTCGTGTGCTACTGGAATATTGTTAACCAACTATGCAAAAGTAGTGAATTTATGCTCGGGTGACTAAGTTTCTTGCGGCGGAACCTGTCCATCTGAGTTTAAGTTCTAGACTTTGGCATGGGTGATTGTGTTTTACAAGATTTACTTTAATCTTTTTGATGTTGTTCTTTCAGCGGCATGGCATGCTACTCGCTACAGGGCGTTTGTGGCGACTTCGGTGGTCTCACAAGATGCTCATAAGGATATGATGTGTGTGCGTTCATAGGGTGAGCGTGCGTGTGTGAATATGTGTTTGCACGGTGTTTTTAAAAGTGCCCACGTTAACTCCGAAAGCAACTAGACATGACAAAGGCAACCCAAGCCTTGCCCCCACAACCGCACCTAGGACAGCAGTGTAACAGGGTACGCATCTCAATCATGCACAGAAGGATCAATCATGGAGAGAGAGAAAAAACACAGTTTTTTGTTGCGTGCATATATACCGGTATGGTCTTGGGACCGAGCAGTCCGTTGATGAAGACTGCGCTGAAGGCGGACAGCGCGACGCCGCACCCGATCGCGCGGAACCCTGCAGACCAACTCCACTGTCAGTTTTCGATCGCGAGAGTTATCCGGGACGAGCTGTGCCGTTTCTCGCGTGATTTCTGCCGACTTCCGCGTTCCAAGCAGGTAGAAAGCGATTGATCGGCGTGTGTGCGCTGTGCGCGCGCCACGTAAATACGTACCTTCGTAGGTCTCGGAGGGGTGGATGACGCCGTCCTTGTTGCGGTCGAAGAAGGCGACGTGCTTCTGCAGCGGCGTCAGCTCGTGGTTGTACACGTCCGCCATGGAGGAGAACTCCTCCTTGCCCTTGGGCAGCTGCCCACCTGGCCGCAGCACACAGAGGAGCACCGTGGTGAGCACCAGCGCCAGAGGCTTGCCGCCGCCCCACAGAGCGTGGATAAACAGAGCCATGGCGGCTCCCGATCCGGGGTGGAACAGCCTTCACTAATAACTCTCAATATAACTGGCCGGGAGGTCGAACTAACCTGCGGTGGTGACCGCGGACTTGGACGCCATGGATTCCAACGAGACGGGGGGAAAGGTTGCGAGAGAGGGAGGAGGGAGAGGCACTGGTCCCAAGGTGGCGAGGCCGGGGGTGATATAGACGGAGTGCGGTTGCGACCGGTGGCTTGTGGGTGGCGTACTGATATCCACGGCGCGCGGTCGTGGGGTATATATGCAGGCGATGCGCTCGACGGAGATGCGCGCGCGGGCCCCCTCGCCAGGCTAACACGCACAGAGACACAGTGCTTAACTACCGGTTTCTCTCGCCTTCGCGAATATATCCCCGTCGGTTTCCTGCACGGCCGACGTCGCGCGCGACGACGATGCACGGCCACCCGCCGTGCCCGTGAACGCGGCGTTCTCTTCCGTCGCCGATAAGTAAACGAAAGGGGAGAGATAGGAGAGCGGTAACTGATTTCTTGTGCATCTCGCGTGTATCTTCCGGAAACAAAAGAAAGACTGTCGCGTGATCACCTGTGTTCGGATCGAGTGACTTCGCGGTGTCGCGGAAGGGAGACCTGCTTGCTTAATTACGACTCACGCATTGACGCATGGGGTGAGTCTCGCGCCCGCGTGTTCCACCTTTTCCTGTTCGGTGATGTGATGGCTTCAAGGACTAAGAGTAAAATTTCAGTTTACTTTACTGAATAAATCACACTTAGCCGAAGTTCTAAATCGGTTATAGGAGTAATTTTTATTAATCCTACACCGAAAATTTGGCCCATGGGGTCTAAATATTGTCATCCTCCACCTGGCCGAGTAAACCATTCCTCCTCCCCCTCCCCTCCCCTACTACACACATCTTTCTTCTTTCACACATCGCCATAGTTTTAGCCGCCGCCTCCCCGTGCGCCACCATCGCCGCCGATGACTATTGTTGTGTCCGGAATGGATCTTAAGACCCTTCCACCACCGCCGCCGGCGTGTCGCCGCCGCGATCCACCCCCGTGCCGCTGCCCGCACCGAAGAAAAGGTTGGGCATAAAAAATCCCGTCCGGTCCACCACATTGGCTGCCACCACCTATAGCAAGGTTGCCGGGGTGGCCATTGCCTTTCTGGCGCCGGGAGGGTGGCGCTGCCAAACGTGCTTGGAAATCAACAGTGGCCGCATTAGCCCTCGTCAAAAGCGGTGGCGATGATGAAGAGGGAAAAGCCACTCCGGTGGCTCGTGCTCGTCTTTAGCCACCCCTATGGCCACTGCTCCAGCTCATCGGGTCGCTGCAGTCGGCAACAAGGGCTGCGGCCACAAAGTGCTTGATGAAATGCCCACAAGGTAAAAGAAATATCTGTTATTTGGGCCTATGCATTTTTCGGTGATTGTTGGAAGCCGATGGATGATGGAGTGTTTTGATATTATTGTCGTAGTGCAAAGATGAATACGGCTGAATTCTTGGCGTCTTTGGAGTCATCTCATACGCTTGGCCTTGAGGATCTCAACTACAATTTGGTGTTCGATCAAGTGACCCAAGAAAAGGCCGAACAGGAGGTGGGAGAAGAGAAGGTGGCTGAATTAGAAGAGGTTGAGAATCCATTGGAGACCGGAAGTCAAGCGAGCACGAAGAGGGTAGGACTCACAACTACAACTCCGTTGAAGATCTTGCTTTGTGTAATGTTTGGATGAACATCTCCATGGATGCAATGGTTGGAACAGCCAATTCAAGGATCGTTTTGGGGGAGAATTGTGGAGTACTACAACTACTCTGGATGTCGCATCTAGCCGCACCCAAGGCTCACGTGGGCACTGTTGGGGCACCATCCAAGATCAATGCAACCGATGGTTCGATTGCATTGATCAAGTGAACCATGCATCAACAAGCGGTATGCCGGTCAGGCGGTCACAGAGTTTGGTCCTATCATTCAAGAGCTATTCAAACGAAGAAACAAGAAGTTCAAAGATATCAAGATTGAGCATTCCCGTTGAGGCCAACAAGAGATTGAAACGCAACAAGATTGTAAACGAGAAAAAGAGGATACGTGCATTCGGTGACACATACAAAGAAGAACTTGTGACCATGACTGAGGCCAAAAAAGTGTTGACGACCGAACACAAGGAAGAGAATACGGGAAGATGGAACAAGCTCAAGATGTTGGAGGACGAGAAATGGAAATCCAAATTGGAAGCTGAAGGGAGGAAGTTGAAGGTGGAGGAGCGTAGGCTAGCACTTGAGGAAGAGAGACTTCGAGATTCCAAGAGAGCCGAGGATTGTGATATCATGTTCATGAACCCAACCACAATGAATGATACCGCAAGAAAATATTGAGAGATCACTAGTGGACACATCTTGACCCAAACAGAGGTCTCTGTTCGGAATGGTGGTGGTGATGATGGTGGTTGTGGCCGAGAGGATGGTGGTGGTGGTGGTGATGATGGTGGCCTTGTGTATGGTGGTGGTGGTTGTGATTTCTTTGACGATGACGATGTTTGAGTTCGTGCATGCTATTGGTTGATCTCGATCCACAACATAAAATGTTGTGTTGTGGTGATTTTGGTTCAAAAGTGATGCATTTTGGATTAACTATGCATGTTTTAATTGGATAATATCAATCCATGAAACTATATAACTGTTAACAGTTTATATGTTGTGCATTTTTATCTTAAAATATTTGAATTATTGATGATATGTTAGGGCATCTCCAATGCCAACCGACAAACTTCCTCCCGCATCCATCCCCGGACAGGGGGTACCAATTCGTGGACCGGATGCGGAAGGCTGCCATCCGACGCTGTCCGCATATATTTTAAGCACTCCTTCAACAAACTAGATGAGATTCATGCAAACACAGCGGATTTCATTTAAACCGGACGAAATTCATTACATTTCGAACATATCTAAATAAAATAGGTAAAAATTACGTGCACGTCCGGCCGCGCGGAGCTCCATTCCCACGACACCGATACACTGCACTAGTATACGGCCAGCTGCGATGGATCCCTTTGTCTTCCCTGTGTCCGGTAGCCCGCTCGTTGTACATTCATGAGCCTCGGAGGTTTATTCTTCCCGAGTATCCATCGGAGTGGCAAAGTGGGTGCTCCAGCCGAAGGGGAAAGGGGGCTCCGCTCTGTGAAGCCGAGAGGGGGTCGACGATGGTCTGTGCTGAACCAGACAAGACACCAGTTGTGTACGCAGGCGTCGCCTCGGCGGAGGTCAGCTCCATGGCATCCGACCAGCAGGGCACGGTCACAAACACGTTGATGGCGGATGGCGCGGTCGCATACATGGGAGGAGCGGGGCGACATGGCGTTGTCCACGACATCCACGATGCCTATGCTGTCGTGGTCCACCACGTGCCGGCTTGGAGCAACACGTCTAGACTCCTCGGCAAGCTGGCTTGGAGCGGCGAGTTGCTAAACAACACGACGACTTGGAGTTTCTGCATTAGCGAGCTGGCTAGCAGCCGCCTGGACTGACGATGGAGGCAGAGCAGAGAGTTGCCTGGCTCATATTCGGCGGGCTCGATGGGCCACCACCAGCTTTTATGCTGGAGAACTCGACTTCCTGCTCACCGGATGCCATGGAGCTTGTGGAGAAAATGGTGTGCAAGTAGGAGATGAGAGCGGAGTGTGGTGCAATTTTTGCCTGGTGTCTGGCATCATTTAAATAGCGGACGGACAGCCGGACCCAATTGGCGTTGTGTTTAATGACGGACGAACTAACGTGTGGTTAGAATAAGTTTCTCAGTGCACATGCGGGTTAACTGGAGGAAGGCGGGCAGTCTGCGGCTATTTGAATGCGGCGAGGAGGTGTGTTCAGTCGGGCGTGCAGCGCTTGTTGCTTTGTAGGCTGACGAGCCGCTTCAATGCTGGAAGTGGTCGTGTCTGTCTGCGCCGCCCTTTCGTTCGGTCAAATCACAACATCAATGTTGGCTGCTGCATGGTCTCAACCGGCATGAATGCGTCGCGGCAAGCGACACGGGCGTTTGATGGAAAACGTGGGAGAGGCGGGTGGGTGGTCTTTTGTGGGTCAGGATGGTCCGAAGCGGGTATTGCAGCCGTCTGGACGCCCGTAAAGCGCTCCATATATTTCTTCGATTTGCGGGAGAAATTACGTCCGAACCGCCCCGCGAACCGATGCAGACCCGCGTTGGATGTCTTTCGCAATTCGGACCGCGTCGTTCGAACGTATGCGGACGATTTGAAAGTCGGCGTTGAAGATGTCCTTATGCCAGTACTGCCTTATGCAATTGGTTGAGGTTCATGCGGCTAGACTAAAAGAATATAGGGGGGAAATACTCGATTAAATTCAAGAGTTCGGCTATGTCCGGTCACTTTACTCCACTAATTTTACTGGATGGTTTACACCTGTATTTCTTAACGGACCAGCTAGAGATGCCCTAGCCCGAGGAGCAATCACGGAACCGAAGGAGCTCGATCAGTCTTGGCCGAGGATGACGAGAATGGAAGCCTCTGACGATGGCAAAGGTGATAGCGGTGCACTGCTTCTGGTTTGGACCTCTTGTGGAGTGCGCCGCATACCCACTGTGCCGTGCGCGTGGTCCTTCGATGGGTGTTTGGCGTGTTGCCACCTGCCGCCCGTGCATGCATGCATGCGCATGGGGCTTGTGCCACGCGCTGCGATTCCACGGTTCCGTCGAGTCGCCGTCGTGTTTGCCGAAAAGGAAGAAAAAAATCGTCTCGCCGTCGCCGTTGCTCAGCGTCGCACTCTAGGAGAACTCCACACCTTTTTTTTTTGAGGCAAGAAGAACTCCACACCTGGGCTCCGTTGCACGCTACCCGGCCGTAGGCTAGCTATACCGTGGCCCAATGAGGCCTGAATCGTCTAGCTGCCGGGCTGGCACAAACCAACGGCCATGGACCAAGGGGGGCGCGAGCAACGGCAAGTTATGGCTGCGTTCGGACCGGAGGAGAGCAAAACAAAGAAATGAAAAAAGTACATGAAGTTTTTTTT